CTGTGGACCACACGCAGTACGAGCTGCTCAATCTTTTTTCGATAACTCAAACCAAAACCATATTATCAATAATTATCGATCATTTCATTTTAATTTTTTCACATTCACTGTGTAGACTTCTTTACTGTAGAGACTGTTGACATTATTGCGCACTACATGATATAAAGAAACTGCATCTAGAAAAGTTATTCAACAAATTAAGTGCAGAATGGTTAGAATAGCAGCTTTGCCCACTGCTCAGAGTATTTCCTAGTCAAGCATTTCCGCCTAGAGCACTCTAACTTGATTTCATGATAGTTTTACAATTTTCTTTGGCAAAATTTATTTGCTAAGCATACAAGTTGTGAGTATTTTAGATTATAATTGCCTTAATATTGTCATGAAATGTATGAGATGTTTTAAGATAAATATATCTATAAAATAGACAAGTTGTTAAAGCCATGTCTATCTGCTAGCTTCAATGCAAACTTGTCTCTACTTATATAAGCCTACGAAACTTTGCATAAATATCATTGTAGACATTATATGTCGCAATCGATTACATTTCTTCAATATATCACAGAGCTAACTGATTCTACATATCAAATAAAACTGCTAAGCAAATTTGGCTTTTAATGATGCTACTTTAAAATACAAGCTCGACTAAGCTGTTTAGCTTAAGCAGCAGAAACTCTTGTTTATCTTTTAACTTTAGCTCTAACTAGAACATATCTGTGCTCTATTAAAATTGATTGAATATGTGAATCTCAACTCATAATGGGAAATGATTTTATATTTGGATAAAAGTATCAAGCTGTTTTTTGCTCTGAATTCCAAAAGAAATGGTTTAATCTGATATCATTTTTGAGCTGTAATAAAGCAATCAGCTCGCCGCTTGGCATTTATAATAATATTTAAAACATATTTCTTAGACATAACTGCTATGTTGATAATGATGCAACACTTGCAGCGCGCTTGCATTATTATGGACAGCTGCGTGACGAGAGATGTCTGTGGTTGTGTGTGGTGCTGGTGGTGGTGGGTGCTTTTGCCTGCAGCTGACCAAGTAACCGAGTTTTTGCGCCAGCTAATGTTACAGCGGCTTAGCTCGGGGGAGCACGTAACAGGCAGGTTGCCTCATGGCAAAGGGAAAATGCATAAGTGAAAATGTGCACGCTTTTCACTGACTTGTTATGACTATCGCTATTTCATGAATGAAAAGGTAATTTTACACTCAATTGCGTGACATGCGGGTGGCACTCGTATTACCAACGTCGAACGTGTTATCACTTCTGCAAGTCTTGAGCAATCACTCGCTCTATTTGCAGCGCATTGATAGGTAAATTAGATGAGTTGTATTATTTCATAATTAAGTTTTTGCTATATGTGTTTGTGGCTGAACTTTGTGAGGCGCACCTTGAGCGAATCCTTTCACTGTTTACATTCACTTTTTGTCTCCCAAAGCAAATGGCATTCACTTGACCAGGTCTACAAGCAAACAAGCATAACGGTTCATTGATCATGGCAGTTGATCGCTTGTTTGTGCTACCTGCTCTGTGCCGATGCCTCATTAAAATTGGCGGGCTTTTTATTTTCATTTTAAGTTTCTGGCCGCCAGCAGAAGTCATTAACGGCTCAACCACACCTGACTCTAGAGTCTTGGTCTCAAGTTAGACGCCAATTTGTTGGCCAGCAGCAAAAGCTTGTGATTTGTTGAGTGCAATTGCAATTGATACGATTTCATGTTTCTGTAGCTGCCTTTTACAAAACATTAACCCAAAATATTACTCATACGCCATGTGTGCGCCAGATAAAAAGAACACATTTTTTGCAGCTTGTTGGTTGTCAGCTGGTCGTCATGCAGCGATCACTTAACGTTTTTATACAGCAAACAACCAATAACCAGTGTCATAACTTTGAAGTTTAACAAATGCAGGCCTAAGTTTGCTTTGAGACATGTTTCTTAGAGATGTGCAGCACGGAATGTGATGTCTTGGATTGGGTTGGGTTGGATCAAATGTAAATATATGAGAATTATAATTTTAATTTAATTATACTTAATTTTTCTTTAATTATCTATAATTAAGGATGAATTCAATTTTCATTTTCAACTATTTTAAAAGTCATTCGTTACCAAGCTTCTGCTTCGTTTTTGTATACGTCTATCTATTTATATATCTGTATCTATATCTATATCTATATCTATATCTATATCTGTATCTGTATCTGTATCTATATCTGTATCTATATCTGTATCTATATCTGTTTCTATATCTATATCTATATCTATATCTATATATCTATATATCTATATATCTATATATCTATATATCTATATATCTATATATCTATATATCTATATCTATATCTATATCTATACATCTATATATCTATATATCTATATATCTATATATCTATATATCTATATATCTATATATCTATATATCTATATCTATATCTATATCTGTATCTATGTCAATATCTGTATTCCACAACCTTTTGGCTATATTACCAAGAAACGTTTGCCAGTCTTTCAGCTCGTTGAGTATTTCAAAGCTTTAAGCTAGAAAAAACGATTTGCTCTTCATCTTTGTCAGTCAAACAAATCCGCTGAAATATTATATTTTATCATAGTAGTTACACATTAAAAAAACATTAGTTCAATTACACTAACCTCTAAACCGCTCAGATACAGAATGACTTAGTTTTGATTAAGCCAACTTTTCATTTGCCAATCTGAACAATTGTCAAAATCCATTTGCAAGCAACTTTGCCAGGAGTCATGTGTCACGCGTTCATCGCTAAAGCAACATTTTGCGCTTTCATGAATTTTTTGACGTGAAGGCAGCTGCCGTGGTGGCTTGTCATGTGGCTTGGCCAAAGAGTGAGCTGTTTTTTGGCTGACTGATGTTGTTGATATTGTGCTGTGCTGTGCAGTGCAACTGGCTAAAAGGCACTTGTTGTCGCCGGCTAACGCAGCTGCTTATTATTTATTTAACATTTCTATTTTGTGGCCTGCAGTTTTTTCAATTCCCATTTTGGCGGATGCAGCGAAGGCCACAATATCAAAAGTTATATTAGCCAAAAATTGCATATCGTTGGCCGATTTGATTTGTGCCGCGCAAGCCGGGTGAAAGTCAGCTGTGTCGTTTGGTAATACTTGATTAAGATGTCTCCATTCTTCGGGTCAATTATTTATGGCCAACGCACACACAACGTAAGGGAAATTATCTAAGCAGATAACTCGCGCTTACATCATAAGCGTTGAACTTTCGGGCATTCGGGCTATTTGACGGCTTTTTAGATCTATTCACACCAGCAGCTTCAGCTGGTCAAAAGCGATTGCTGGCGCTGGCAAACCATTTTCATTGTTCACAATTTTCCAATTGTCGTCTATAAAGCACACACGCACACGCAAGCACAAACACAATGCTTTATCGCCTGCTCAATCGTTGCAGCTACAAAACGAGCTGCACATATTTTAACCCGGTTCATTATCGTCTTAGCTGCTTCGGCTGCAGCGTCCGCTCAAATCAACCGGCAGCCATCTCTCAACTGTTGCAGCAGCAGCAGCAGCAGCAGCTGTTAGCCAAATGCCTTGCTCATATCTGCAAATGACAATCGCTCGACTTGTTTGTTTAATTAACTTACCATACCGAACAAAAGAAAAAAAGAGGCTGTAAAATATTTTCTAAAAAATCTGTATTGCCGGGCTCAACCGGGATTTGAACCCGGGACCTCTCGCACCCAAAGCGAGAATCATACCCCTAGACCATTGAGCCGCATGCTCGAACAGCAGCCAGCGCCAACCTTTTGCTTCGGCCAGTGCTCTCGTTTTAGCCACGTTTAGTTTATTTTTAGCCGTTGCATGCAGCAGCCAAAAGTGTGCAACAGTTTTTAGTGGCAGCATCATGAATTTGTGTGCGCCTGAACATAGGCAATCGTAATTTATAGTGAGATATTTTAGATGCGAGTTGTTTTCGAGATTTATACTATGAATAAATTAGGGAAACTTTTAATTTAAAAATAATTTTGCATTATACTTTTAATGCTTGTTTATGATATTAATACCTTGCTGCTGCTGCTGCTGCAGGCTCGACTGCTCATATGAATGCAAATTTGTATACTATTGAGCTTGGATATATATAAATGTTTTGTATTTATATATAGGTTATAAAATTATTAAATATATAAATCTGTTATCAGTTACTATATATATATCAGCTACTATATTATATTACCTCCAAGGTCTGTGGATGCCAACTCTAAAGCTGTACAACCTTTGACCTTAGATTGATTTACTGTCGGACTTCTTTTTACAAAGTTCTAGAAATTGTTTGGAGTGTTAGAGGATATAACTATGTTATAACAAACTGAAATACCCTAAATATAAAATACTTCCCGCTTAAATCAACACTTGTGAATATTCGAATCATAAAATATTTCATACAAATTAATTTAAATATAAAAACATTTATTTTTTTACTTAGGAATACGTTTTATTTTAATCCAACTAATGCTAAGTATATACAAAACTTTACATTTATAGCAAATCTTAAATATAGTAGACATATGTGTATGAAAATATAGCTAAACATGGAAATGCATGTCGATTAAATATAATAAATGTTTAAAATGCATTTATCTGATATTTTACAATTTTAATTTTAATATTTTTACTTAACGGAGCTTTTAAAAATTTGGGCTTGAGAACTTTATATTGGAAGTTAGTTTTTAGAATTTGTTTCAATATTTATTTTTACTTTTAATTTTAAATTTTAGTCTGTTTTAAAGTTTCCTGAAAATTGTAATCACTTCAAAAATGTTTTTCTAATTTTAGATAAATTTTGTTTTTAATCATTTTTTATATATTTAATATCAAATTTAATATAAAACTTCAGTTTCAGATGACATTTTTTTTTTTTTCATTTTAATATTATTTTCCTAAAAAATTTATAAAATTAGTTAGCAGATCTTTTAAAAGTTCTCAAAGCTTCAATTATCTAGCGACCATATTTGAAAATAAAAAAAGTTAGCGTGTTTTAGGAGCATAAATTTGCAGCACACTTTGACGCCTGAAAAGTAAACTAAATGCGGTCGAAATCTAATTGAGAACCATTTATAAATCATGATAGACACAAGCATGTTCGTGGCATAAACACAAAATCTAAGCACTAATAGTTGCTGACAAACTATTTTTAAAGTCTATATACGAAAAGATCTGTTCGAGCTGCTCAAGTGAATATATCTTCGACCAGCTGCTTGGTGATGATGCGATGTGGTCGAGTTGGGTTCACCTTGGGGCGCTGATAGAGGCGCGCATTGATCGCATAGAGCCGGGGCGAGAGATCACAGCGTACATTGAACCACCAATCGCAGACGAAGACCGCCTGCGAGAACTGAGTGCCATTGGGGCACAGAAACGAGGCCTGACGTCCATCAATGTCGCAATAGTGCCAACCTGTCGACATTAACAGTTAGAACTGTTCATATAGTTGGAGACGTTAAAGCTACTCACCCTGGCATCTGGTTTCCATGTCCGCGAAGAAGCCCGGATAGGACTGTTCGTCGCAGTAGAAGTTCGTATAGGGTATGGCCGAGAGTATGGGATAGTCTACGCCGGGTCGACCTGAAAGATTATTTGGTTATTGCAATTAGTGCTGACCAAAATAAACAAACAATCTTGTTTGTTTCCAATCAATTTCAGTTCATCTGACGTTTTTTACTTAAACGAAAGTGCAGCTGCAACCGAACACCCAACCAACAAAAAAGCTTCCTGCTGCTGTCCCCCGCCCTCAACTGTTGAGCTGTACAAAAAATGTCAAATGCACGCACGCACCCAGCCAGCCGCAAGAAAAAAACGCGTGTTGTACGACTGGCATAAACAAATCTGACATGCACCGCCTGCTCTACCGACCCGGCTTGACCCCGCCACTCGCTAATAAATGAATTTACGAGTAGCTGCACTTCTGTGCCAAATTTTCCATTCGAAAAATAATTTAAAAAGCGTTTTTTTTTTGGCTGAAAAATGCATTTTGCAACTGAAAATCAAAACAAGATGTGAACTGAGCGTGCTTGACTAAATGATATCCTGTACTTAGTTGGGTCTTTATATATAATTTGATTACTTTCGGCAAGTGAGGAGAACCCTGCATAGATTGGGCTTAAAATCTCAAAATAATTGTTGAAGAAAACTCATAAGAAAAGCTTGAAATTGATGTTTGAGAACAAAGAAATAAAATAGATATTAATTTCTATTACTTATGATATTATTTATATTATCTAAGAGGTATATTAGATCTATGATGTCTGTCAGTAAGTTATATCAATGGAACCTATAGATCTTGAGCAGGTTCTAACTTGAAAATCCCCAGCTCTAGTAAAATGAATCGCATTTAAATTCTTTACACAATTTAAATATGCTTTTAATTCAACAAGCTGCAACCCTTCACACCCGCTTTCACTGCTTAAAGGGTATTGGAGCTGTTGCCAAACAGTGCCCGTGGCATGCGCCTAATGATGGTCAGTCGCGCGTATTGATGGAGTTGTCTGTCAGTTGTAATGCTTACCCGGTATTGATTTGCCCAGCTCCAGATATTCGCGCACTGATGGACTCAGAAAATTATCGGGTATTTCGGGCAGATCCTTTTCCTGGCTGCCGCTCTCCTCGTTCTCCAGATCCTGCTGCGGCTCCGGCTCAAAGTTAACGGCGGGCTCCGGCGCGCGTGGGCGTTTGGTGCGCTTCGAACGTTCCGTTTCGCGGCAATCTACGGGAAGCGAAAAAAAGTAGTTGTAGTAGAAGACAACATAAAATATAATTAACTTTTCTGAACCAAGCCTCAAAAGCGTAAAGTTCAAGGCTGCAACAACAATAACGGGCGTCGCAAATCGCATTAATGTCAAGATTATAATTTGGGTTTCGGCCGCACCCGATTTTGGGGCCATTAGCATCAGCTCGAACTGGAACTCGAACTCGAGCACAGCTGTCAACTGTAGCTCAACTCTAACCTCTAGCGCTGGCCCGCTTCCGTTGCTGCAACATTGTGCAACATGTTCTCATGTTGTGCAACATTGATGTGACCATGTTGACAAGCTGCTGTCGTCTGGCGTTCGTTTTGGCTATTGACCTTGCGGCTTCTTTGGGAAAATACTTTAGCTAACTGAAGTTGCTGCTGCTGCTGCGACTCGTTGTCTAGAACTATGACGCTTAATTGCTTAGTAATCATTTGCTGTTGTTGGTTTTTCTTCGCTCATTAGCTTAATTTGCAGCTGTGGCTAAGCAACAGCAACGCTCGCCGCTTCCTCCATCTGCAGCCCACACGTCGGCAGGTATTTTGCATGCCTTCAAGCCGTTGGCAAACTGAAAAACTTGTTCTCAATTTCATTCTACACTTCGCGCAATTTATTCACGATATTGGCAGTTGTCGTTTGTTGTAATTGTAATTGACCTTAACCTTGTTGTAGTGTGTGCTTTTTTTCGATTCTCAATTCTTGTTGTGGTTGTGTAGCTGTCGCTTACTTTAAATGCCGTCATTCAAGTCGAGTGCCGACTGCCGACTGTGTGCGTTGCGCAATCGCCTACATGTTGCAGGCATATGAACTTTCGTTGAAGGGCAGCTGCCCCTTGAAAAGGCCGACTTTAACATAATTTTTATTTTAAGCTCTATATATCTCGTGTTAACAAGATCTTAACTTGTTAAGCTAAAGAATGCTTCTCCTACTGGCAGATGACATACTTAAGGCTTGGGCTTAGTTTCCTCTGGATTTTGTCAGTTTTATTTGAACTTTAGACTGGTTTTTATTGATAAATGGTTGAATATTTAAGCAAATTTTCTTTTAACTCTTTTAGCAACATTTACTTCTAAGCGTCTTAAAATTGTATTGCTAATAAATCTATAGTCCAAGTATGAGCAAATGTTTCAATATAGTTTTGAATCTAATAAATTTGTTGTTAATAATCAAGTTTGCAACATGAATTGCTTCAAGATCTAAGAGACAATATCTTCCTTAAATTTATTCGAGTTTTTAATTGTTGGCTGTTAAATTTTATTACTAAATTAAGCTGCAAATCTTATCACAAATAGAGAGTGAGTTAGTCTAGAAATCATGTCGAAATTTATACAAAATAGTTGAAACTCTTAGTGTTCTAGATCCTTGGTAAATTTATCAAACAATTAAATGCTAATAGTTTTGGGCCAACTTTTACATATTTGACTTCGCTTATGAATTAAAAGTGCACAATCTTATTTCATAAAATTTTTTTGAAATTCTTTTTCCAACGGCTTACAAAAAGCTATTTCATTATTAATTATCAATTAGCACAAAATACTGTGTTTAAAATGAATATGAAAAATAGTGTATAAAATGTTTAGAAAAACATATCTTTTTCATTTCGAGCACTTTTGAATTTAAAATTCTTTGTGCATTTGTTTGTTTCATAAGCCAAACGGATATAATTAAATAAATAAATAATTTTTGGAAAATATTAAAGCAGGCATAGGCATAAGGCAAACTCAATCTGAAACAGAGACGAGAAGCATTCAATGAAAAATTTGTTATTAGTCACACGCGCTAAAACACACACTGTGTGTGTGAGTGTGTGCGACAAATTGCAACATAAATGACAGCAAAATTTATTACAAATGAAATAATTACTACGAAAAACAATCAAATTGTAATTAGAGGCGAGTCGCGAGGCAAACAAAAACCCACAGCAGCAGCCACTGCACACTGTCTGCGAGATATATATATCTAACATATATATTCAACCAATACGCACAAAAGTTGTGCGTGGCAAAATAAAAAAATAATGTGTCTAATGAAACATTTCGCATGGCGGAACAGATTGGACAGCGAATTGGGCTGGGCTGTGGCAGGGGCTGGGCAGCTGTCCAACGGATGCAGTGCATCATGCCTGGCTATGGGGCACACCTCTTTGCCGCGTCTGGCATTGGATTAGGTAACCCAAATTGAGTCTCCTCTGGCCTCCTCCATCTGTGCTGCAAATGCTGGTTTTTTCGGTACACCAAGCGACACCACATCGAACCACACTTTGGTGGCTTGTCGTCGCGAATGTGATTGGGTTTTTGGTTTTAACAGTCGCATAATTAAAGTAATTGCCATACGCTGCAGCATGCAGCATGCACCAAATTGTGGCAGCACCAACTGCTACGCATTTCACAATTGTGTAATTGGCTTTTGCGCTAACTTGGCTATTGATAAAGAGTTGGCCAGAGCTTATTAGCCAAAGGGTTGCGCTCGGCTTACCTGTAAAGCCCATTAACATAAATCTTGCACTCTCACACTCTCTCTCTCTCTGTTTAGCCTGGACCTTTTTATCAGCTGCGCAATTTGCAGTTTGTGGCATTATTCATGTTTTGTTGTCGAAGTCTCTGCTGCCTGCCACAAGCGCAAATAAGCATCGACTGATTATTGTGCCTGGAGTTGGGCCAATGACAAATTGTTTTCGAAATTTACAATAATTTCTCAGTCAATGGCAAACATTTATGAATAGAAATTTATAAAGGCGTGCCTAAGCATCAGCTAAGATAGAAATATATAACAGAATTTTAATGGTATAAAATATATATTATAACCATTCTGCTATTCAATTAGTGCAAATTTATGTCGAATAAAGTTTTATTTATTCAAGCAAAGCCAAAAAAATCTTGCTTGCTAACAATTTTAAAAAATATTATTTTAATAATGTATGAAAAATGATTTAGGTTCTAAATAAAACTGTTTCATAAAACCAGGCAGTAGCTTGCCTTTGAATATATTTTAATTAGATTAAAGTTTTTGGATACTCTTGCAATTCGGTATGCTTAAACAAATTGGTATATGAAGACTGCAGCTAGGAATTTTTCAAGCTTACTTAATTGCTCATTGAATAGATACTTGAAACTTTGAAATATATATGTACATAAAATATCGTAAAGAGTCTCAAATTTCAATTAGCTGATCAAATTCATTACAAACTTCACCACCTCTGCATAGAGCTGTGCAGATCTATCTTACTTACATAACACGTTCATATGATTCATTTGCAGACAGCTCCTTTTAGAAATATGACAACATTAAACCGATACTTGCTGCACATATTTCAAAAATATGAAGATAAGAAACAAGTTAACACTCAAAATTGGTTCAGATTTCACATTAACAAATTTTTAGTTTATGAACCAATTTTGAAAGAAGTTTTAATAGTTTCACATTTAACTATTGACATATCAGATATCAAATATCAGCTTAGCCCACTTCAAAATAACTCTACTTAACAGTATCCTTGTCCTACTCTCGCCTCCTAAACAATCAGTTAAGTAATGCTAACTACGATTTGTTGCAACGGCTTTGGTTAGTTAAAAGCGCGACTTTTGCCGCCTTCAAATTGTTGATAGCCTCTAACCGCAAAACGGCCCAGTTTGTTAGACGTAATAGGCGTAGTCGGGGGCGTTATTTGATACCCGCGATATGCATCAAAAGCAGTTCTAACGGCGCTTTTTTCTCTCTATTTCGGCTCAATTTAGTTCGGCAATTTGCATTTTTCGGCAACTGCAGCTAGAAACTTGTTCATCTAAGCCCATATCAAATGGATATTGGCTGCGTTCATAATTTTTGACATGGCCGTAAAATATGTTTGAGTGAGTCCAGAAGGGGTAAAGGGGCAGCCATATATAGAGTGCGCTAGCCAAAACAAAAAGCGCCTTTGAGCTATTTGCACGAATCCAAATGAAAATGAAAATGAAAATGAAAAACAACTTCGAACTCGTTTGTTGCATTGTTTTGGCTTAAATCGTCGTCGCTGAGGTTTGGCCGCCAGTTTATGCAATGCATTTAGTCGCTAGATTAAGGAGCTCTGTCTATACACCCAATATCTAACTGAATGGACGTGTGTATATATGTGTGTATGTGTGTGTGTAACAAATCGTGACCGCATGAAGTTGCCGTTAAAATCTATGACTAGGCCGCAAAAGCTGGCAAAATTCAAGGCACATGCACATTTTTTAAGGTGGAGCTCGCTGTGATTTTGTTTACTATTTTTTGGTATAGGCAATATATTACGCATACCCTGTAAAGATAAAAAAATTGAAGTTTGTGGTGGCACTAAATAAAAGCTTGAAAGCAGAAGCTATATTTCTTAGAGTTGTTAGATAGATCTGGTTTTATAGATCATAAATGTATTGATTGCAATATTGAATACAAGAGTATTTTATGATCAGCTCAGACATCTTTAACTATATATTGACAAAAGCCCACATTTTGATTTCAATATAATAAGCAAGTAAATTTTAAACCATCTTAGTCACTACAGGGTACCCTTTTTGTCATTCAATATCACTTTGATGTTTGTTATGTGTGCATAAAAGAAGCGCAGTATGATTGCAGCAGTGTTCAGGGTATATGCTAGTCGAGCACTCCCGACTAGAGCACTCTTGTTTTATTTTATGTTGTTTGCTTGCGATTTTAAAGCTCAAGCAATGCATTGATTATACTAAAGTACACACTCGATTGGATATGGCCCCATATAAACATTTATGCTATACATGTATATACGGCAATTCAGGCGTTATCGGTATTAAAGAGAGCTTATTTGCCGTTGCGCCCACCTGGCTGCACAGTTGTGTGGAGAGAAGGCGCAACAGGAAATTCATTTACATAATTTTTGTGCTGTCCATTGGCATTCTTTGCGCTTGACTGGGCATTATCCTTTTAATAAGCACAGACAAACACATACACACAGGCGCACACCCAGCCGTGTGGATAATCA